CATTTCTAGAAATACCTACAGAAAACTAATTTGATTCCAGGGAAATATTGTGTCTAAATTTCTTCTCTCTAGATCTGGGTTCATTGAGGTCTACATATACAGTGGGTATCCGATATCTTTGAGTGTCTCTGAGGTAAACTTTGGGACCAGAATTATGCCCCATCGCTGCCTCCCAAGTACACCTAACTCTCCATATTGGGCTCTGCTGACCTTGAAAATTCACAGAAGTTTCCACTCTCACTTCGGCAACTATATACCAAATGATAAATGAGAACTAGGAAGGGAAAACAAGTAGCAAGTTTCTCTGTTGTAGGGTAAGTGTATGTTTTCTTAATAATTTACTTATCCTATATAATAAAAGCCTCATATGCAAATTGACCAAATGGCAGAACGACGGGTGGACGGACCATTCACTATGATGCGCACCAGGGGGCAGACGCTCAACACAGGAGCTGCCCCCAGCCCGGAGGGCCCAGGCCAGCCAAGCAGAGGGAGGCAGCCAGCAGCACTGGGATCTGTTTCTTCTGCATTTGTAATTTCTAAATTTTTCTTTTTTCTTTAGTTTTATTATCTGTTTGACTTCGTAATTCTGATTTATCTTGCTTTTTCATATCTTATATCTTTGTTGAGCACCTCAGCTTGTTTGGATTTGTTTCAGGGGATTGTCTTTTTGAAGCTGTTATTTTCTCTAAGAAAGTAATACTCCTTGAAACATTTTTCTATTACAGTGATTTTAATTGAGCTTTGTCTTTGATTTTTTTATATATATATTCTCTCTTGTTTCCTTCATGTGAGTTTCTTTTTTCTGAACTTTAGAAGAAAGTTTGGCTCACATGGTTTTTCCAGCTTCACAAATCTTTCTCTTACGTTGTATCTATGAAGTATTTAAAATTATAAAGTATTGTGCTCTGAGCTTCCCTAGCTCTGTATCCTGCTCCTACCTTTACCTGGACCATCTGCTTCTTTTGTGCCTGTTGTCCCCATCCTCTCGCAGTGTGGAGGCCTGCTCTGAAAGGCATGTCTGGGGGCTCAGTGTCACCAGTTCCTGGAAGCTAGATTGCCCCTGTCCCTCTATGGCTAATATGCCCGGCATTTACCCACTGGCACAATGAACCCCTTGTATTGCAGTGACTATCCATTAGATATTAAGGATTCTCTACTTATTATCATGTCAGATGCCTGATCATTTCCCTTTGCTTTCTCCTGAGCAGATAAGAAAACATACAGGTCTTGTAACTGTTAGTGGTCCCCCGCGCCCCCATTAGTATTTAGGAGATATCTGGCTTTATTGTAAATTTTGGATCTTTCGCTCTAGTTACTCTGGATGTTTTAACATGGGCATTCAGGAAGATACAAAATTATGCTGCCAATGCCACCGTGTTTTTAAGTTTCTTCCAGATTGTTTTTAACAGTGTTCAAAACAAACCCTTCAAACCCTCTCCGGGTTGCCTATTTAATTTTACTTCACCTCGGTGTCTATCCAAAGTTTAATGATGCTTTACAGGTTTGCTCTTAGACAGTTTACTTAGATACCGAATTCCCTGTAAATATGTGAGAGCTTAGATTTTATCTCCTGTTCAATAGTTCCATCTTTTGTTTTTCTAGTTGTGGATCTACTAAAGTATGGGCCTAGTCTTAATTAGTATCAGTGTTGCTGTTATTGTACATGGAAATTTTCCTTACTTCTCTGTATTCTTTACCCATTATTTTGAATGCAGTTGTTTATATTAGATAAAGTCAAGCATCTTTGGGGGCATTTTTAAATTTCTTGATTAAGTCATCTGCAAGCCCAGTCTTTTAAGTTTTGCTATAAAATTTGAACGCAGCTAACATTTTCATTTTCTTTTTTGTTGTTGTTAATTTTCACCCAAGGATATTTTTTCCATGACTTTTAACTTTTTATTATTATTTTAAAATGTATTTTTATTGATTTGAGAGAAGAAGGGAGGAGAGAGAGATAGAAACATCAATGATGAGAGAGAATCATTGATCAGCTGCCTCCTGCACTCCCCACACTGGGGATGGAGCCTGCAACCCGAGCATGTGCTCTGACAGAGAATTGAACCGTGACCTCCAGGTTCATAGGTCAGTGTTCAACCACTGAGTCATGCTGGCCAGGCCCCATTGCCTTTTAGAGAGAAGAGAGAGAGAGAGAGAGAGAGTGAGAGAGAGAGAGAGAGAGAGAGAGAGAGAATCCATGTGAGACACATCAGTTGGTTACCTCCTGTAGGAGTGGTGCTAGAGATCGAACCTGCTACCCAGGTAATGTGCCCTTGATCAGGAATCTAACCCATGACCCTTAGGTGCATGGCAGACACTCTAAACATTGAGAGACACCAGCCAGGGCTCATTTTCCCATATTTATTTATCACATAGTGAAAATGTTATTGTAGGGCACAAATAACATTTTTGGGAATTTGGGAAGTTTGTGCTGAATTGGCACAAATGTAAAAAAAAGAGATAAAGAAATAAATGTGGGAAAGATTGACATTAAAAGGAAAAGATAAAGGAAGAAACAAAATAATTATGAATAAGATTAAAATTTTATAATTTTTATTAGTAATATATTTATAATAACATGATGTATCAATAAACTTATTTTTGCACAAACAGTTCTATTCCTGGAAACACGCATCCATAAATATTTAATAATTGCTTATGGTAAAGTATAAGTTATCAGGTCAGCTGTTTGGTACAAAATTTCCTCAAGGGGAAAACTATCTCTAATGTGATATTTCATTTGTGCTGACCTAGAATCTCTAAAAATCATTGGGGCTTCTAATTTGTGCAAACATCTGTAATGGCTAGCACGTGCTTTCTTTATTGCTTTTTTATTTTCAAAACATGTAGGGTTCAGCTCCTCTTGTTTCAATTCATTTCCTTCCTACAGAATGTGCAACATATGGATGTTAAAAAGCATGACCTGTAATAAAGTTTGCAATTTGGAGAACTGCTAAAATTTTCATAAATGTACTAACAAGATCTCCAGGGTAAAACTCTAAAGCCTCAGAGAATAGGGGATTGGGAAGTTTGTGCTGAATTGGCACCTGCATATATCAATTCTTCATCTGTAAATCTTCTATGTCTTCTGCTTGTCTGTGATTATTTCCACTTGTCTCTGTAAGTACTCCCTTAGTGTATTCCTCTAGGAGTTATACAACCTGGCTGCTTTACTAATTCCTTAAAACTCTGTTTTACTTTGTATTATAACTTCTGTTACAATAAGCACGAATATACATAATTTCTGGAGAGGAAAGCAGTGTTCAAATGATAAGATACATGGACAAAAAGCTGAAAACTTACAAGGGAACTGGAAAATCTCAAATTTGGATGCATTTTTAAATACAATGCACCAGATTCCTACCTAATTCAATAGTCATCTTGTTTTATGTTTTAGATGGTTGTGTTTGTTTAGGTAAATTAGGCTTAAGTTTATTTATAGTTCCACATTCAGCATGTTTAGCTTCTCTCACTTAATTTTTTCCAGGTGAATCAAAACCAGTGCACAGTATTTTGACAGAGGAAAGAGGCTCCTGTTGCTGAATTCCTCATTCTCTCAGGCCAGTTTATACTCTAAATGCCCATGATATTATGTCATGACTACCCCATGTCTACCAACTGCTTGAAAAACCAAATGGAGGAGGTTGTAATTAAATCATAATTAAAACTTCTGATAATTTTGATTTAATTCTAAAACATGTTATAAAGCTATTGAGCACACACAGTAATGAAAGGCTTCTGTTTCACCCATTTCCACAGGATTCTTATCCCCATGTAGTGTGAACACAAACTTCCTACGTATCTAAAGCTACCAGTGGACTCCATGGGCTCTGAGTTGACCATCAGCAAAATATTCCACATCCTCAATATATTCTCTGAACATCTTACTTGCCCTACCGTCAGTGGTCAGCAAACTGCGGCCCGCGAGCCACATGTGGTTCTTTGGCCCCTTGAGTGTGGCTCTTCCACAAAATACCACGTGCAAGTGCACATGTACAGTGCGATTGAAACTTTGTGGCCCATGCGCAGAAGTTGGTATTTTGTGGAAGAGCCACACTCAAGGGGCCAAGGAGCCGCATGTGGCTTGCGAGCCGCAGTTTGCCAGCCACTGCCCTATCCCAAATCAGATTACGTTCTGGGGCATAATTTACCCTGTAGTACTGTTAAGATGTGACAGAGTTTCTCCCTCCCATACTCTTCTCACCACAGGTTAAAAGTGGGTAACATCCAAACTCACTGATTAATCACCATGTGTTAGGCATTTACATCTATTAAACTCACTTAATTCTTAAAACAATTCTATGAGATAGCAAATATCATTCCTAACAAGCGATGAGAGAAGTGGGATGCCAAGAACTTAAGTTATTTACCGAAGGTCACATCTTCTAAGTAGCAGAAGTTAATTTGATTCCAAGTCCATAATATTAATTACTGAGCTTTGGTACCTCCAGAGTAGGTACCCTCATTGAACTTTATATTCTAGAACATTTACTTTCTCTTTTCCCCCAACAGCATAACTTTTGGAGCTCAAATCAATAGGCAATATCACTTTATTTCTCTCTTTGTTAAAGTCAACTATCTCTTTATCACCATCCCTCATGCATTGTAGAACTAGATTCTGATATTTCTCTTCACCAATCAACATTCATGTCATCATTCTGGGTGATTCCTATAACCATGTAAAAGATTAATTCCAATCCCACTCAATGACTTACTACGGATTTCTTCATGTCTTCCAGCTATAACCTCCTATCTTCCCAGTGAACTTGCTTTATTCACCCAATGGAACAGCTCCTTGATCCCTCCCACAAACATCACTAATCCATTAACGTGGCCTTTTTGCTTTCTCACCACCTGAATCTCTACTCAACCTTCAGCAGTAGTCAGGACTACATTTCCCTGGTCAATTCATCCTTCTATTCTTTGGGGTGATTATTATTCTCTCTTCAAATTTTCAACATCCACTTCTCATTCTCTCTTTCACATGATGATGTTGCCTCTTATTTACTTGGGAAATAGAATAATTTTGAATAGATTTCCTCATCTTCCCACCACCACGTACATAAACTGACCTACATTTATATTCATTTATTTCATTTCGGACTGTTAAAAATACATTATGTATTCATTCTACTCTTGTTTAAGGCCAAGTTCTTTGCTTGTGCATAAGGCCTTCAATTTTATTTCAGCCTTCCTAGCAAGGCCTGTGTGCCCAGGAGTCTAGTCCACTGAATCTGCTCTGACTAGGATCCAATGACCTTATTTTTCCAGTCGAATGTCAGCTTCTATCTTTCCAGTCTCATTGGGTCCAACCCAATGGTCAGTCTTCATTTGATCCCACCTCTCTGTAGCACTGGGGACAGTAAATTACTCTTATTACTTTATTCATCACTTGGTCTTATTTTATTTTTCCCCATCACCATTTATCACCCCAGATCCTCTTCCACCTCCACCCACCTCCTACCCCTTGCAATCACCTCACTGTCCACGTGGAAAGAACTCATTACTTCTATTTTTAAAGCACTTCCCTTTTCAGACATTCTGCTTATTTTCCTCATTCTTCAAAGTCTCTCAGTCTCCTTTTATGGATTTTAATGTAAACAGGCGTATAGTGAAGAAGAAGGGAAGAATCAGAAAGTATTTCAAAAATCATATAAATATTACATACCCACTTCTTTATTATTTAGAAAACAGCTATTTTTAAAAGGCTGAAGCTGGAGGCTAGCTGGTGTGGCTCAGTGGTTGAGCAGTGATCTCTGAGCCAGAAGGTGACAGCTTGATTCCAGGTCAGGCCATATGCCCTGGTTGTGGGCTCAATCTCCAGTGTGGGACATGCAGGAGGGAGCAGATCAATGATTCTCATCATTGATGTTTCTATCTCTCTCTCCTTCTCCTTTCCTCTCTGAAATCAATAAAAATATATTTTTACAAAATAAAATAAAAATAAAAGGCTGAAGCTAGAGATGAGCATTTTCACTGAAATAACCCAAAATGTCATATGCGCCAAAATGAGAGAAAACTTCCCCATCACTGGTGATTGGTTTACACATCACCATTGAACTCAGGGCATATATACATCTTTCCCAGAGATTTCACTGAACTGTTGTCATATATATAGCATTCAGGTTTCAGAATGTGTACAGGGAAGAATTAAAAACCATTTATTTTATGGAGGCTACAGAATGCCATCATTCTTTAGACAATCATGGAAAATGATGTCATCCCATGAACTTTAGCTTCCAAAAATTTAAGTCAAAATCCATGGGAAATATACCGTGTCTGCATGTTCAGTGGGAAGAGAAGAAATGTGAAAGGCATTGTGCGTCTCTAAAATATTTGAGAAGTTTAAATCTTACTCCACCTTAGTCGAGAGGCACCTCCCCTGATGCAAAGTTGATTTCAAATAATCTGCACTTATGGTACGGTATTTGTGAGATCCCTTCCTGAAGATTCCTTTTAAGTACATGGATAAAAGCCCATGTTCCCACGGCCATTTTAGTTTAAACTATTTTAGTTTCAGAAAGAAAGTGTTTGTTGTTGAGTTGGCACATAATATTTAAAAATTAGATTTGATTTTGAAAGTTATAAACATAAAAGATATTCTTTCTCCTTCCTTGAACTTGTGTATTTCTCCTCCCGGGAGCTGGCCTCACACTGGAAATCCCTGCTAGGGTGGAGTGAAGTTGTGTCAGCAGCTTTGTGCGCAGCCCACACACTGACACAGAGTGACTGGGTATTAAATCCATGTTTAATCACTCATTCCCAAGACAGATGCATGAGCCAAACCGACAAAGGAGGAGCACATATTCATGCTGTAAATAGCTTCAGGCAGATTGCTCTTGAGTAAAGCATCGAGGTCAAATCGTCATTGCTGACTTTGTTTTCTGTTTTCTGGGAAAAATTCACTGTGATGTTAGCTGCTTTTTAAATTACACAAAGAATTGTCCAACCATTCTGATCAGAGTTATTATGCCTACTCAGATTCTCTTGTGTGAACTGGTCCAAGGCCATGGTGTTTTCCATTTTGCACAGAATCTAAAAACTAGAGGCAAGTACTGCATTAGGTTGTGATGATGGATGCGTTGTCTACACTTCCCTTTATAAACTGATAGTATATCTGCCTGGCAACAGATTACCAATCACTTAGTAAAATGTATTGCCATGAAGCCATTACCATGATTTTCATTAAAAACTAGGTTTGCTTTCCAGGAGTCAGGTGTTTTCAAAGGCATGTCACCGTGGGACTCTCAGGCTGGGACCCTACAAGTGGCAATGAGGACCCCTCTCCAATAATCAGAACTCTCCTTTCCAGGGGCCGGTGCAAGCAGCCTCCAGTCGGCACTTGGCACGCCCCTTACATCTAGCTGCGAGGGCGGTGTCCTGAGAAATTTGTATACCAGTATTCTGGAGACACAGGTCAGATCAGGATCTGTGCTTTGCATTCTATCCCACTCTTCTTCCCCAGTATGATGAGCATTATTACTGTGCCTCTGAAGACTCTTTTGTTTTATACTCTTTTGGGAATATTTTCCTCCTAAGAGATACACTTATTACTTCTGGCTTATGCAAGGAAACCAATTCTATTTAACACTAATACTAAATTTCTTTTTACTTTTATTCTTTGAGTCATTTCACTGGAGATTGGAAGTGGACAAGATATAAGCCCATATGCCCATAACATCTTGAGCTACAACTATGGTCCATTTAATAGCTGCTTTTATTTGTTTTGGTTTTACAAATGAATGATTTAGTTTTGTTTATTCTTAGGAAGTAAAACTAGTCACAACTGCCAAATACCTTGCATCTGTTAGCAATGAAACCAAAGGTTATAGTCATGTTCCTACTATGAATATTAAAAGCAAAGGTATGAATCATCTAGAAAATCCTAAAAAATAGAAATATTTTATCATGAATGGGTTTTGAAATTGCAAAAATCTATATGATAGACATAAAAAACCTGAATAACTTGGAAATCCTATATAATAAAGAGGTAATATGCAAATTGACCATCACACCCTTGCACAAGATGGCTGCCCCCATGTGGTCACAATATGGCTGCCACAAGATGGCTGGCAGGGGAGGGCAGTTGTGGATGATCAGGCCAGCAGGGGAGGGCAGTTAGGGGTGACCTGGCCAGCAGGGGAGTGGTTAGGGGGTGATCAGGTTGGCAGGCAGGCAAGCGGTTGGGAGCCAGTGATCCCAGATTGTGAGAGGGCTATCCGACAGGTCCCAGATTAGAGACGGTGCAGGCTGGGCTGAGGGACAACACCCCCTACCTCCCCAATGCATGAATTTCATGCACCGGGCCTCTAGTATGTAAAATAAACCCTGAAGTTCTTTCCCCTCTGTGGCCCATTGGTGATAACACTGTTCAACAGTTTAATATTATTAAAGTTTCTTTTTTCTGTATCTCCTATATCTATTTATCACAACGTTTTTGTTTGTTTTTTAAAATTGCATTCTCTTCTACATATAACTGGGCATAATGCAGAAAACTATAAAAAGTGTGCTATTATTTCATAGTTTGCTGTTCACTCTAATATGTCAAGGATGCTTTATTATAGTAATAAATTTAAACGTTTTTTATTAGTTAGACTGTTGCATATAGCTTTTGAATAAACCATTTTGTCTACTTATGGGTGTTTAGCTCATTTTCAATAGTTTGTTTTAAAAATTTCTTCAAGGAGCATCTTTTTCTTTCTCTCTTTTGTAAAAATATTTTTAGAAACATAGATGGGAAACTGTTGGTTAATTGGCATGAAATTTTAGATTTTTTGTATAAATTGCTCCCCCAAAAGAATGTACCAAATTACTGTCCCATCAACGGTTGGTCCCCATTTCTCCACACAGCCACCCCAGTAGATGTCACCAATCTGCTTTATTTTTCATATCAGTCACAATACTGCTATAGTGTCACAAAAATTAAATAATCAAGAACTCTTTAATCCCAGTGGTTTACTACAGCGAAAATTGTATTTGTCTATCACCAAAATTCTTCCAACACTGTAACTGAGCCATCTGGAACCAATGTTCTCAAAGTTGCTGCAGAAGAAGATTCTTTTTCAACAGTTAGATCCCATAGTGACATTATTTCTTCCTCTTGCCACCCACTGGCACTCAGACCGGCCCCTTCTAATTGCAAAGGGGTTGGGACATGTAATTCTTTCATATCCCAGGACGGAGGGAGCAGTGGTCCTAGGTGAGTAGAAGCCACTACTTCACTGTTACTAATGTGATGTGTGAAAAATGCTTCTCCCTGTGGCTGTAGTTTTCTTTCTCCCTGGTGGTCTTTTTACTGTGTGATTGTTTTTTCTTCTTTCTCCCTTTCCTTTCCTTTCCTTTCCTTTCCTTTCCTTTCCTTTCCTTTCCTTTTCTTTCCTTTTCTCTCCTTTTCTTTCTTTTCCTTCCCTTCCCTTCCCTTTCCCTTCCTTTCCCTTCCCTTCCCTTCCTTTCCCTTTCCTTCCTTCCTTCCTTCCTTCCTTCCTTTTTTAAATTAAGCACTTCTAATTTTTATAATTGATTTATAGGAGCCCATTATCTACTATGCATAATAACTTTTCTTACTATATATTACAAATATTTTCTCTCAGGCTTTCTGCTCTTAATAGTTACAACATTTTTGGTGAATGACCCTCCCTGCAAAAATCATTTGTTAAATCAGTGACACACCATCTCATTTCGACCTTTAATTTACACTAACTAAATCCCTTCCAAGCTTCCAGGCTAAAAGAAAAACTTACACATTTAAAAGTGATTTATGTCATGTGTAAAAGTGAAGATAGTGACACTGCATTACCTAACCATAGCTTCTGGGTTAGTTTTTAATCTTCCCATCAGTACCATTTTTTTAAATAAAGCTTAAATTTTATGAGATACTGCCCATTGTTGGGAACTATCATTCTAAGATAAAAATAGTACAATAAGAGTCCTATCAAGAAAACCAGGCCTGCCTGGCCAGTGTGGCTCAGTGGTTGAGAGTTGACCCATGAACCAGGGGGGTCACCGGTTCGATTCCTGGTCGGGGCACAGGCCCAGGTTACAGGCTCCATTTTCAAAGGGAGAATGCAGGAGGCAGACAGTCTATGTTTCTCTCTCAGCCATGTTTCCATCTCTCTCTTTTTCCTCTCTCTCTAAAAATCAATTAAAACATATTCTTTTTAAAAAAGACACCAGGCCTGGAAGTCTAATGAGCAAGAATAACACAGCATGTACAGTAGCTCTGAAAAAGCAGGAGAGGGTTGCCAGCAGAGTTACACTAATACTTTAAACATGTACACAAGTAACACAAACGCATATTTGGGGGAACATGTTCCAATTTGGAAAATTAGCCCAAAAAGCAAGTAAACAATGATTTAAGTCAATACATTAGAGTCCAAGGAATAAATCCGTGTACCATGTACAAAATGCTGCAATTAAGCAGCCCTCGCATACACACTTCAAAGTGAGGGCTCCCTGTTCACTGCCCTGGTCTTAGACTCCCTGCTGGAGAGAAGTGGAAACAGTTTCTACAGCCCTAATTTTGATTGGCTTGAGTGACAGCTAAACACAAAATGTACAAGCTGTTAACTTGCTCTACCTGCTGTAATTTATTTTTCACCCGTCAGAAACGTCTTTCTGTAAAGCAGGTATACTGGTGCCCTTTCAAATGAGCGTTTCTGGTCTTTGGAAAGTAAGAATGGCTATCAGAGGAGAAGGTTCTGAAGGGACACTTCTTACCACGACTCCCACAGCAGATGCCCACGGAGCAATTCCTCCTCCAGGAACTGTGCCACAGGCGCTGTGCAGGCGTGCTCGCTCCCGTGGGTAACCTGAAACAGACATCCTATCAGAGACCCACACAGCACTGTGCAGGTGTGCTCGCTCCCGTGGGTAACCTGAAACAGACATCCTATCAGAGACCCACACAGCACTGTGCAGGTGTGCTCGCTCCCGTGGGTAACCTGAAACAGGCATCCTATCAGAGACCCACACAGCACTGTGCAGGTGTGCTCACTCCCGTGGGTAACCTGAAACAGACATCCTATCAGAGACCACAGTGATGACCAACGCAATAGGACAGTGAATACACTCTGTGTGCCACTGAGACCATGGCTATGTTATCATTTCTGCTGCAAAACACATTTCTCCAGACACTATAACACATTAGCCATAAACTACATCTCAGACTGTACCATGCATCACTCCCAGTCATATAGAGCCATGACTGGGAGTGATGCTTTTAAGCAAGTGTCAAAAGAATTGAGGTTACACAGCTGTAAACAAAACAGAAATCCAGCAGTTTTAGGATTAGTATAGTGCTTTAATTATGTAAGCATTTTCTATTTAAAGTGTCTTTTTCAAAGCATTAACATAGGGCATAGAATTTACAATCTCTGCCTTATTTTAACTCTATATTATTGCCTGATGTTTCCTGACATGAGCATGAAAACTCAAATTTGAAAGATGGAATCAAAAAATTACCAAGATGATGACATGCATACAAAATGTAATTTAATATAGAAGTTTCTCACAACTTCAGTTGGTTTTTTTCCCCAGTAACATTATGAATGAATAGCTTTGAAGATCATATTTTTCCATGTAGGTGACATCAGCTCATAAGAATAAACCAGTGGCCTGTTAGTCTGTAAGGACTTATGTATGGCCCTGAAGGAGAATAGGAAGATCTCTGAGACTTGTCCCCTACCGTCTCCCATGCTGCCACACCATCACACCACTGTAGTGAATAAGCACTAAACGGTTTACATTATACTCCACCAGGGTCACTAATTCTATTTACTTCAGGGGCCATCAGGGTGACATAAATAAGGAAAAGGATCAGATGAGATACAGTGGGGCAGTGCATAGGTGTAAGATTAATTATGCCAAAGTATACCTGTGCTGCCTAAAGACATTCACATTTAAAAAAATTAATAGAGTTCTAGTTAAAAATAATAAAATATGCAGAAGTGTTTCTGAATTACATCTGTTAAAAGGTGTGCTTCTCAAAGATGAGACTAAGCAATATGTCTTAAATTTTTTTTTAAAATCTTCATATGAGGCTACTTTTTTCGTTGCTTTTCAGAGAGAGTGGAAGGGAGAGAGTAAGGAGGAAGGGAGGTAGAGAGAGAGAAATATCAATGTGTGGGAGACACAGTGACTGGTTGCCTCCCACATGTGCCCTGACCAGGAGCCAGGAGTGAACCCACATCCCAGATATGTGCCCTTGACTGTGAATTGAACCCTTGACCCTTTTGTGTGTGAGCCGACACTCTAACCACTGAGCAACACCAGCCAGGGCAGTGGTATGTCTTTGTATCCCTAGGATTTAGTACAGAATCAAAATATTGAGTCTTGTGATGGCTATTTGTTTAATTGAATTGAAGGATTGTTCTTAGAAGAATTGTGATTAAAGAGGACATTCAAGGTCCCCTCTTATGCCCTCCCAACCTCTCAGAAGCCAGATAGGGAGAATGGGAAGGTTTAGGGAGGCGATCAGACCATGCGAGCACATGGGCATGGATATGGGCTAAGATTTAGAAGAAGCATTCACATACATAGATATAGCTATCATGGTAGATACA